ACTGTATTTTTACGAGTTGCGTTGCGTATCGCGCTTCGTATCGCTTTGCGTAAACATAAAACTATGTCTGCATTTGTGATCGGAGAAACAACAAACAACAAACCTGCTCTACACTGCTCAAAACTCACCATTTGAATCATCAGTGGCAAATGATTTAAATATAAAAAACGTACTTACAGGCTGTGAGTCAGAAGCGCCAGACCGTCCTTGCAAAGTTGGAGCTGCCCAACTTAATAGAAACAGCCTTTGTGCCACAGACGCATTGTAGGCTACTGGTTCAGGAAACAGTCTTTACCCTCCATAAAATGCGCTGCACACATCTGAATATTTGGGTTGAACTGTTCTGGAACAGTGTTGTAAATACACTCCAAAGAGAAAGGAAAAATTGAAATCGCATCATATGACCCCTTTAAAATCTTAGCCACATACAAATGGACATGGAAAAAAAATCTTTTCCTGTCTTCAGATAAACAGTGATCTGATATATCATAAGGCTGATAAGCTTGGAAACATGAAGATTATCTATGTAGACACTGCGTATGTGGGAAAGCTCATTTTGACTAAAAAGAAGGACAGTAGCAGATATGAGGACATCACGTCTAACTATAAATACCCAGAAGGTACGTTTCATATCAATCTACAGAATTAAAAAGCAATGCGACATTAGATCAGGAGAGCTGCATTCGATGTAGCAATGTGATTCAAACGATCGTTCTCTGACATGATTGACACTCCTCTTGTGAACTTCGAGGAGTCATGGTGGCTTACAAGGGCTCTTCCTGAGAAAAAGACAATCCTTTAAGTGTTTGAAACTAAATTTGGACACGAGTCTTGGAGAGACTAATCATATTTGTGACTAGGAAGAGCCTTTTTTACTGGCTTAGGTTGACATGCTCTTAAATCAAGAGCCTTGGTTTACTAATTTGGCTGGTTTATAGAGCCTTTGTTCTCAACTTCATTTGGCCCAAAAACATCTTAAAAGCCTTGAATGTTTATTTATACTGGGTAATTTGATATTATAGGGCAGTCAATATTAAATTATGTTGTGTTCTAGATTCTTGGAGCGACAGTTTAAAAACTGGTTTCAGTAACTCGAGAGCTCGCTATTGACACCTGCCAGACTCAACAAAGCCTTTCAGTTATTTGATTATTTAACAGACTTACATGAGGAAGCCAAACATCCTATGGACATGTGCACCAAACAATAGAGTTTTGATTGATGTGGGAAGGAGTGGAAAATGCCAATATTTTGCCTTCAACCTCCATGAATCTAGGAAGTCTCAAGGAGAGAGAGGCCATGCAGATGGCAGAGCGTCGTGGAGTTTCTTCCAGGGACTACTTGCCACTCGCTGAAGCAGGTGTGACCATCGAGCTCCAGGCTGACACCATCAAAATGGGTGAAAACCTCAAGCTGACTCTGAACATTAAGAACCAGACCAGCCAAACCTGCATCATCAGCGCCATCATCACTGGCTGTGTGGCGTATTACACAGGCGTCACTAGCACAACTTTTAAGTTCGAAAACAAATCTGCAACCGTGGAAGCCTCGACAAGTGAGTCCGACACAAGTGTTTCTGTAAAACTGTTCATTATCTTGAGATCGAGTTATAACAGCTCTAAAGGAATTCTATAAAAATTGTTAACGGATTAGGTCATAGTGTGATTATAATATCTTTACAGCTGAGTCCCTGACAATAGATGTCAAAGCTTTGGAGTACATGCCCTACCTTGTGGAACAGTCCAACCTGCTCTTCGTGGTGTATGGGCAAGTTGAGGAAAGTGAGACTTCCCTTTCCACGATGAGAGTTGTCAATCTTCATCCTCCTGAACTCACAATAAAGGTAAACGTCTTCAATAACAATTCTTAGGGGAACCCGTGTTTAGGGCTGGGTATTCATTTTGAGTTCACACTTGATATGAATTTAGAAATATGTCAAAAATGAACATTCTGTCATAATTTACTCACCCTCATGTTGTCTCAAACCTGTATTTATTTATTGATTGATTGACTTTCAAAAACAGTCGAAAGTAACTCACTAAAATAGAAACAAAGTTTATTGTTCATTACTATTAAAAAACAACAGCAACACTGTAAAATAAATCTGAAATATGCCATACACCTGCCTTTAAATGAGACAAATCTGGCTTCAGGGGTGCAGATTTCAAAATTGTTCTTTTTGTTTTAATAACAAGCTGAGTTATGTTGCATTCAATTTCTCATGGGAAGTTCATATTTACGAGCTGGAAGTTGTAATTGCAACATCATGTGTGTTCAAGTTATTTGGTTGGAGCTTGTTGGCGATGCACCTTTTTACAAAACGTTGGTATGAAACGGAAGTTGCGATAGTCTTTTCTTCCCTATTGTAGTGTATGAAATGGATTCTAGAACAAGGAAAATTGTAGGGTGGGACTTGATTTTGTCCATTGGGATATGATTGGATTGTTTGATCAGTGTCATTTGCTATTGCTGCGATATCACGTGAATGACAGGTTATTGTACCAGTAAAAATGTCAAAAATGTCAATGAGAAGAGATGTTGTTGCGAGAGGAAGGGGAAGTTTTTTGATTAAAGATTACGAGGGCACATTAATTAAAATAAAAAATAAATAAATACATAATTATATGCATAGATAAATAATTTATAATACTGCAATATTCCATTAAAAAATAAGATTGGTCAGTTTTGATTTCATAATGACTTTTAACTGTACTTCTACAAAATGATGAATAAAGAATGTGCATTAGTGTGTTTTTGTTTTTATTCAACTTATGAAGGTGCTGTAAATTGAATCGCTATATATTCTATCATATTTGTACAGTACTATTGTATTTTGTTCATGCAACTTGCATAGTTGTGTTGTAAATGAAAAAAAAAAATCATTTATTTGAACACATTTACCGTTGATATAGTTGCTGCACCCATTGCATCCAACACGTTTTCGCATAGATACGCCCCCCTGAACGATTACGATTTTATGGTGGTTTTCAGGTGTAAATACGATCTTGTCTGAAATGCTGGTAGAAGTCTTCTGCAGGGCTCAGTGTGGGCTCGGCAGAAGTGCGCATGGAGGTCGCCCTTCTTAGGGGCCGTTCATATGTGGAAAACGGGGGCCGCGCGCTGTTTTTAATGTTGTTACAGAAAGGGTGAAGCTGACTGGTTGGTTCTTGTCACATGACCTGCGGTGTGCTTGCGGCATTGTGAAAAGTTGGGATATTTTCATCTTATTTTTATATATCTTATCTTATTTTTATATCTTAATCAATGACGTACATCCGAGTCAATGAGATGGAGGGACGTTAGATATATAGACAGATATAACAGAGCTATAATGGTTTCTACTGGCTTTTGTCACATTGCTTGCATCTGGTGTCAGTAGTCTCGTGTAGACAGACCTTCAGACTGACAGCAGAAGATCTGGGAACCTTGGCCACTTAGAATGGCCAAGGACCACCCAAGAGTCCATATGACTGACAGGAAAAGCAACCAATCACGTTTCAAGCAACCAAACTCCTGAAGTGTTACCAATTTTGTGTGCCATATCTGCATCCGACGTTCATCCAACAGTCCGTGGGCGTGAAGTCTGAGGCTGAGACTATGGTGTCAGTTGCTTTAGCAATAACTCTGTGACATCTGCTGGATGGGATTTGCACTACTAATAATATTTAGTTGAGTTTTATTTATTATTAGTTCTTATCTTAGTTACAATTTTCCAGACTTACCTTTATAATTGCACAAAGAGCTTTGTAAAAACAGTAAATGTTTGTTGGTGCTCTACATTCTAATTTATCTGCAGATGACTGGATCTCCCATGGTTGGCAAGGAACTCATGGTCAGTGTGGAATTCCTGAATCCCTATAATTTCATCCTGCAAAAGGTTAATCTCCGCATTGATGGACCTGGTCTGATACTGACCAAATTGAAATATTACAGGTGAACTTTATATTTATATCACACTGGGAGGTGAAATAAAGCAAACACACATAGATGTTGCAATAACTACTACACCATACACCCATAAACATGTCCAGACATTTACAAAGACAAATATAGTATTTCTTTTTGTGCATATACACTATATCCATATACATTCAATGATTTATTTTGTGGTGACTCCTGTTTATGTTGCGGTCATGTTGCATACATAGAAAACTAAATACACCGTTGGCTGAATTCTCTAAATATTTTGTCTCTTATGTGTGTGTTTCCACTTGCAGCCAGATATTACCTGGTGCCTCGGTGAAATATAAAGTGTTGCTGATCCCTCGATTTCTGGGGAAGAAGGTGCTGATGGCGTGTCTAGACTGCCCTCTACTGAGACAGGTCACCAATCAGCTGGAATTTGAAGTAGTGAAAGATGAAAATAGGAATGACCTAAAAGAGTGACACAGGGAACAGGATAGAGAAAAGACAGTGAAAGAGGAACGGAAGAGAAAACTCAATTGCAGTACCATTGCTTTGTTTTGCGTTGATTCACTAAGCAAACATGTGTTTTTTTTTTTTTAGCAAGAATTAAATAATTAAATGCTACATCTACTTTATGTTACATGTACTGAAGTTAAAAGAATAGCTCACTCAAAAATTATGTTTTTTTCCCCAAACCCTTATGACTTTCATTGTTCTGTGGAACACAACCGATATTTTGAAAAACAGAAGAGACATTTATGCAGGTTTGGACAACATGAGGGTGAGTAAATGATGACAGAATTTTCATTTTTGGCTGAACTATCCTTTTAAATCAGCAAGTGTGAGAACTATAATTAATAATGACATCCATTGAAATCCCTAGTGATCTGCAACGTGTTTTGTTTGGGGAAATGTTTTCTCTGGTTGGAAGGAATCTTAACTAACTTACTGTATTAATCACAATGTATTGTTTTTTTACTGTGCTCTAATGCCATGGACTATGTTGTACTAATGCAAATCAACAATAAATGTTTAGCATGAAAGCTTTTTGATGGACGCAGTATGAGCCTACTCACCTCATGCCATTACAAACCTGTTTGATTTTACTTTTTTTTCTTCTTCTGTGAAACAGGCACATAAAATAAAAGTTATTTAAAAAAAAATGTATGTATTGAATGTATTGTACTGTTGCTTAACAACATACCGATTGTTCTGCCGAATTTTTTATTTTTGGTGTTTGGTGGTCAATGTATGTTTCTGACCAAATTTTTACACTTATGATGTTATTTCTAGCAAGAAATCAGTATCATAGTAATTAATTATTCACTCATTATTCACCGTTATGCAAAGTCATTGCCTGATAAGGCAGCGAGGCAACAAATTAGCCTTGTAGCCACCAGTGTATTTCAGTGTATTTCCCCCGGGAATGCATGTTTTTATTTTTCTGAAATAACCATGAAGTTAGATTTGATATTTAATGAAAACATTGCTGAAATTGCACAGTGTACGCCTGACTTTACATGATCTAGGACCTTTATAAAGTGTGTGCAATTGTAAAGACTGTTTGTCTGCATTAAATTAAATATGCACTCTAAAAAATGCTGGGTTAAATATAACCCAGCGCTGGGTTAAAAAGGGACAAACCCAGCTATTGGGTTGTTTTGACCCAGCGGTTGGGTTGTTTTCGACCCAACCGCTGGGTCAAAACGACCCAATAGCTGGGTTTGTCCATTTTTAACCCAGCATTTTTTAGAATGTGGCATCTAACCTGATTAAGGTCTATTAAATGGTTAACTACAAGAGAACAAATGTGTTTTCCCTCATATTTTACAATATAACGTGTGGAAATAAGTATGAATATTTGTGATACTGACGTTATATCGAGAGGTTTGATCCTCACATTCTAAGTCTTCAGAGACCGGGCATTGCCTAAGGCTGGGCATACACGTTTTTGATAAATACCAACTCTCGCTGTATGAGTAAATCGCATGAGATGTAATGCCAAAGCTCAGGATTTATGTGCTCACACTATAAGGTCCGATCGTCGAGCTGCAACTTGCCTGCTCACACTATACGAACGAAATAAACAAGAACTGTGTAGCCTCCATCGCTTCCATTCATTTCTGTTTTCACACAGGCGCAGTGAGGGAAAAAACACTGAGGTTAGGGCATTCGATTCGTAGCTCTGCTTCAACTGTGCGATACCCTTACATGGGGCGACCAAAATTTCTGACATGTCAAAAATTCATCTGACCACCCGATTGCCGGTCAGGAAAGTCTAATCGGCTCTTGTTACCCACTGTTCACTGCACGTCAAAAGACGCACGACAAAGCTGAAATTCATCCCGACTCAAAATAAAAGAGTCGTATGACTCAGAAATCGGTTCAAAATTGGACGGAAACGTTGCCTGATTCGAGGCTTGTCGCAAACAATTTCTTGGTCCAAAAAATCCTCGTTTGTGTGGTGTCATTACGATTAATGGACTGCTCCCGATCGAGACGGAGCGTCCCCGAACTCAAATCATGTTTGATATTTAAGACTCTTGATCGGGCTCTTCTGACGTGATGCCTGCGATAGCCAGTGAGAGCGAGCAAGCGTCACCTACCGGATGCTGCATGCTTCTATAACTGAATCTTGGCAGCCACAAACACGAGAGTACTGAGAAAGAACATCACCCATATTCTTTTTTTTTCTATTTTGTTTTTCAATGTTCAACAGAATGCATGCCAGGCGAGCCAGCTGACAATGTCCTCCATGTGTTTTCCTTCTAGAGTCACGTTTGATCTCACTGTGAAATCGTTCCTCCAATCAACAAGTGTGTGGTCTCGTTTAGAGGATCATAAGGCTAAAAATCGGTTGACACTGTCTTCATGTCTGTGGTCTCCCATGGTTTTAAAATCAGTTGTGATTTGAGAATCGTCTAGTGTGTCTCAGGCCTAAGTTGCCAAATATTTATCACATCTAAAGCCATATTCCACTGAATTCCCAGGTTTTTGCTCCCTCTTGTGGGTTTCTGTTAATCTTCTGCATCCACTGATGCGTGGTTGTGTTCGCTGTCAGCTTGAGCACGCATACAGACCTTTGAACAATGCTATTTCTTTATCAACACAGTTTTGTTTTAGGGTGCTTTGGAACCAGATCCTTTCTGACTTTAATAGAAAGAAATAGAAGACATAGAACAAGGCAGCTTAACTTTCCCATTATATGCTACTGTAATAATGAGTTAGGCCTATTTTATTAATGAATTTATTCACTAGTCGGGCGTCAGTACAAACTCCTCCTGCAGGTCACAAGTCTGCTCAGAGCATTAGTGCTTTCAGTTACAGCTCAGTGACTGTGTTTTTAACATCTCCAGCAGTTCTGTGAAGTATGGAGTACGCGAAAACCTTAGTTCATACATCTCTAATGAGGTAAGACACTGTTGATGTCAGCAGGATTTTTGGGGAGTCTTTTGGTTATTTGTGTAAATGCAAGCTTGAAATTCTCTGCATTATTTAAAATTTTATTTACTCTATTAATTAATAGTAGCACTTTACAGTATGGTTCAGTTTGTTAACATTACTGTTATGACAGCATATATATTTTTTCATTATTTTAACTCATAAAATTAATTTAAACAACTTCAACTTGATTTTTTTAAAGCTATACAAGTTTTTTTTAAGTCAGCTTTAATTAAGTTGAAATGACTTGTACTTGTGCTTATAATTAAACATTTAAGGAAATGTTTTACAGTATAACATGAACTAACTATAAACAATACAGCATACATTAATCTCATAAATGCTCATTTCTATATATGCTAATACATTTTTAACATTTCTAATGGTATACATTAACAATTTATTAAGAACAAACATAAATGGTAACACTTTACTTGAAGGGGTGTGCATAAGACTGACATGACACCTAAATTAACAAAGAACATTAATGTATTTCTAAATTAGCATTAAGCTAGTTTAGTTTATGATATCTAATGCAACAAACTGACCCTTATTTTAAAGTATTACCTTTTTAATTTAAAATTCCTCATTCACAAATCAAAGAATTAAACCCCCGTGAGTGAAATACAGTAAAACTAATGTGCAAGTGATCTGTACTGCAATATACTCTGCTATGAAAGTGTTTTATCAAGCATTGCATTATTGCTGCAATAACAGATGCAGTAAACAGATCTCTTCCTGTTTATATAACCATAACTTAATCTTAACAAACAAAATTGTTCGGTCAGTGGCAAATGGCCTGGGTCACCGCTGTCCATTAAATCCTTTCATAAAGCTGTTAATTTCTATAATTCAACAAGCTGTAGCTTTAGATTAACCCCAGAATGGTACATATTACATTAAAGGTACATATCAGTACCTTTTAAAAGAATATCGCCCCAGTGACAGTTTTGTTCCTTTTCCTTCTGAGAGTGTATGGACTATCGTGAGATTGCAGGTCTAGTTTTGAAGTTAACCACTCAGACAACGATTCTTTCTCTGTGCCATATTAAAGTGTCAGCTCTGATGGTGTGTTGATGTGGTGCTGTAGGTCTGTGTCGTCGGTGCAGACGTCTCTTGCACAGCGAGTGCTGCCCCCTCCTCAGCCCCGTCCGTACAAGGTCTGCACGCAGAACCGCCGCAGGAGGAAAGGCTTCACCGCCAGCTCTCTAGCAGACCTCGTGGAGCAGGTCAGATCTCTGGAGCTTAGTAAAGCACGACGCTTCATACTCTAGCCTATAGGGTTATTTAGGAGTTACACTAACGTTCAGCACTTTGAGGTCCGCAAGATTCTTAATGTTATTAAAAGAGTCCCTTATGCTCATCAAGGCTGTGAAATATCATTGAAATTTTAAATAAGTGTTTTCTATCACAATGTATTTTAAAATTTAATTTATTCCTGTGATGGCAAAGCTGAATTTTCAGCATTTATTCTAACATAATTTTTTTTGTGCAAAAGTCTGCAAAATGTAATGCAATTTAATGCAACCTTGGTAAATCTATCAATTGAACAATCAATCTTATTGACTCCAAACTTTGGAACAATAGTATGTTTAGGATTTTTTATTGTTATTATTTCAATTCCAAAAAATAAAAAAAGTGCACTGAAAAGAAATTGCTCATAAATGTCACAAATAATTACAAAGAAATGGCAAGTAACTGAAGTAGATTAACTGAATTTTTTTTTGTAAAACATAGTCCAATAATCTTTTAATCTTTTATGTACAACTTTGAAAAAATAATTTTTTTTTAGTGTATGCTTGCTGTGCAAAATAAGTGAGAAATAAGTGAGAAGTCATGGAAAAACATCAGTCTGTCGATTGAGTTACATTCAGATCTTACTGGAGATTTCTATACTAATATACAACATTAATCGTTTGCACCAATAGCAAGGCTTGGCACCTGAAGTTGAATACAAATACAAAAGTGGAGTCCTAATATTTCCCACTGCAGGTGGCCAGTTCTTTCTTGATAACGTGTCAGTTCCTCACGCTGGTGCTGGAGGATGATGGGACAGTGGTGGACTCCGAGTCTTTTTTTCAATCTCTGCCTACTAATACTCCATTCATGGTCCTGGAGAAAGGGGAAGCTTGGACCCCCAATAAACTGGTACGACAGTTATATATATATATATATATATAGAAATCTGTTATTGTTTAATTTTAAAGGTGACATATCATGAAAATCTGACTTTTCCAGGTGTTAAGTGCTATAATCAGGTCCCCGGTGCATCTACCTTGTAAAAAGGGGCATAATATGTCACCTTTAAGATACTTAAGAAGTGTAATTTTGTCTGTAAAAAGTATTTTTTTGGTAAGTAGAAAGTATACACTATATTTTAAAGTGCAAAGCAGCATTATATTCAACAAGACAAAAATAAATAAGAAAATAAACAAATAAATAAGTCACCTTTTAATTTGCAGGCAGGATTAATAAAATCATAAAAATGTCAAATTAAATGAATAGACAATTAAAATAAATAAATAAATAAAGACTGAAGATTTTATTTATTTGCCTGCATATCATGTGACCATTAACCGACATCAGAGAACCACAATCAGCGATTTGTCTCACAGATATTTGTTCTGCCCTCAACGCACATTTGACAGGTTCTGCCAAGTTTCAGGCAGCCAAGAAGAAGCGGAATTGCCAAACTGAGCTTCGACCTGTACAGACTGAACCCAAAGGATTTTCTGGGCTGCCTCACCGTTAAAGCCACGCTCTATGAAATATACACACTCTCATATGACATCAAGTGCACCAGAGCCAAGTACTTTCTCAAGTAAGAGCATCACGATAAAAAGTGGATTTCCTAATGCCAGGCTTCAAATTATCATTTTAGAAATGTTTGTCTGGACAATCATATAAACACATACAGCTGAATCCAAAAGTATGACTACTAGTGAAAATGCTTCTTTCATCTATAATTTAATACAGATGTTTTCCCATTAACAGTCATGTTCTTCAAAGAGCAATCTGGGATTACTATGTTACAAAAATATTGTAAACACTCAGAAAAAAGATACAATCTGTCACTGGGGCTAAAACGTATATCTTTTTACCTTGTTTACCCTTAAATGGTAAATATATCAGTACCTTAAAGGTACATATTAGTACTTTAACATTACATATTAGTACCCTCTAAAAAGGTACAGCCCCAGTGACAGCTTTATACCTTGTTTGTTACTGTACTAAAAGGTAAGTGACCGTTCAGAAATGTCGACCTAATATTACTATTTTTTTCCTTCTTCAGGTCTTTATTGCGGTGTTTCATGTACATGGCCAAACTGGCGGGTCAGGTTCTCCTGTGCGGCTCCGCGTATGTGTTGCGGTATATTGGGGACGAGGAATCCTCGAGCTAAACTTCACGTCAGCTGGTGACAGATCAAGATAGTGGGAAGAAAGTAATACTGCACTCATGTTTAGTTTTTGCTTACATGCTTAGACAAATATCAATATATTTTTGTCCTTGGTAGCCTACATTATGTTTTATGTGGCAGAACTGCTTATTTCTAAAATGAAACGTTTGTAAATATGTACTGTGAATTAAAAAAACAACTAGTGCACTAAAGGTGAATACTTTGCATGTCATCTTTTATCAGGCTTGTGCTAATAAGATCTCCAGCTGAGTGACTGCATTTTTAAGACTTTATCTGATTTACGTATCCATCAGAATGAAATTCCCAAAAGTCACAATTCTGAATCTTCTCTAGTGAGTTTCTAAAAAAAATAAAAAATAAAAAATTAAAAAGGTGATAAACTTTGTGTCTCACAATTCTGAGAAGAAAATGTACAATTGTGAAATAAAAAAAGTTTATCACCTTTTTTTTGTAAAATGACCTTTTTAATTTTTAATTTTTTTTTAATCAGCGGTGGAAACAGGCTTCCATACAAAATAGTTAATACAGATCAGGTTTTTGATTTTGCCAGAGTTAGACATATAATTGTGTACCACACGTCTCAAATGTATTCTGGCTTCTTTGAGGACAATTTTATGTATCAAGTGTATAAGAAGACAATATAATAAAAAAGACAAAATTCAGTGCAAAATTGACAGGAGAGCGCGTCATCATGATTCAGTTAAAGGGGTCATAAGATGCTATTTTAAAGATCATTATTTTGTGTATTTGGTGTAACAGAATGTTGACATGCTTTAATGTTCAAAAAACACATTATTTTTCAGATACTGTACATTATTGTAGGTCCTCTATGCCCCGCCTCTCCTAGTACGGTTTATAGATTAAATGTTAAAACGGCTTGCCATAGAGTGAAAGCTGAAGATCGTGAGCTCACCGTCGGTCTGCAGCAGAGCCAGAGCTCATTCAGAGGAGCATCTTCACACACCTACAGCTATGAGGGAGATCGTGCACATTCAAGCCGGACAGTGCGGCAATCAGATCGGAACAAAGGTTAGTTCAATGTATTTTTTTTCCTATCACACTAGGCTATGTGTCGTTTTAAAACTTTACATTTTGCATTTACAAAAACTTTTTAGCGTACTGATGAATACAGCCCTTAGGCCTATATGTAGAGAGAGAAATTAAACTTTGGGGAATTTTGGGGGAAAAAAGTACCTGAAGGCCCATAATGATTTTCAGTCATGCCAGTTCTCCAACGAACTTACTGATTCTACAGTAAGAAGCACATCGTTTTTAGTGAATGCGCGAAATATAGGCTATAGCTTGATTCTTTTTGTAGTTCGGTTCTTTACAGTGAATCAAAACGTACTGCGCGAGCAGTGCGGTTCGATTCTCAAACAAATGACTCGTATGATCCGGTTCTTTACAGTGAATCCAAACGTATTGCGACCAGTGCGGTTCGACTCTCAAGCAAATGATTCATATGATCCGGTTCTTTTCAGTGAATCCAAACGCACTAAGCGCGCACTGTGTTTCGATTCTCAAGCAAATGATTCATACGATCCGGTTCTTTACACTGAATCAAAACGTACAGCGCGACCAGTGTGGTTTGATTCCCGAGCGTTACTTTTTAGTAATTGAAAAACAGTCCTATTTCCGACTCGTACGATCCAGTTCTCCTTTGTGAATTTATTTTTCTAAATGTTTCCTCTAGTGTAAAAAAAAAAATCGTAATATTTAAGAGCACTCGAAACCAGAATCTATCAACGAATCCCATCGCTACAGCTGGTTATATCTACATGTAGTTTAATCATACTTAGTGTCCTTAAATGTGATCAACCCTTTAGTCATGACAAACAACAACCCGCTATATTTTAAGGGCACGTCGGCTGCACATGGGTGTGTCGAGTATGCGGAGAATCTGAACCCTCGCTTTATCTCACTATCTGAGATTACATCTAAACTAACGCAAAACCAATGTGACACATCTAGTTCTGGGAAGTCATCAGCGACGAGCACGGCATCGATGCAGCCGGCAACTATGTGGGTGACTCAGCGCTGCAGCTTGACAGAATTAATGTATACTACAACGAGGCGTCCTGTGAGTATGCTGTGTGTGTGTCAGTGTGTGAGCATGAATCAGTGTTCTGGCCTCCTCCTCACAAACTCACAATGACCTTCAATTTATGAACGGTGCAGTCAGCTCAGAGGAATGTCCTGGGCTGCTCGGACTTCACCAGCATGTTTTATTAATTTAAAATTTAATTTATTTACATTAATTAAAAGAAATATGAATGAATTTATAAATTCTATGTTGATTATTTTATTATAAATATATTACATTTCTATAATTAGTTGTTATAAACATCTGTTTTAGTGCTAAAGTTCCAGAACATAACTTATACAGCAAACAAGATAAAAATTAGTTTTTGTGTGTGTGTGTGTGTATGTGTATGTGTGTGTGTTTAGCTCACAAGTATGTTCCCAGAGCCATACTGGTGGACCTGGAGCCTGGAACTATGGACAGTGTTCGTTCTGGGGCATTTGGACAGCTGTTCCGACCAGATAACTTATGAATAAGATCTAGCCTTGCGTTGTAACCCAAATAAATAAGGTATTTTCCCTTATCTAAAACGAATGCAGTTTGGGGTTCATTGTTATTTTGTATTTAATTTCTTTATTTTGAATGGAAACCCAGCAACAATAAAGACACTCACTTATAGGCTATTAAACAAAGAAATTAAAGTTTTATTAAAAGTAACTCTTTTGGATCCGCTATCATATAGTGTGTCTTCTCGCATCACTCTTGTCACGCCACAAGTTTTATTTCTCAGCACCCCTGAACAACTTACGTTCCCGCGGCTATGGGCGTGGTTGACTCTTAACTTTTATAAAGAATATCTCTTTGGATTTGAGACTTTAGTCTTTGCAACTTTACAGTTTAGCTCACAAGTATGTTCCCAGAGCCATACTGGTGGACCTGGAGCCTGGAACTATGGACAGTGTTCGTTCTGGGGCATTTGGACAGCTGTTCCGACCAGATAACTTCATCTTTGGTACTGTGTCAACATGTCAAGCTGTCTTTTTTTTTTTTTCAGCTAGCTGACTTATTACTTGTTGTAGGACCATTAGCTTCAAGCCAAAGAATGCATAAAAAACACATATACCTTTTTTTTGGAAGTAGTTTTCGTAGAACACACTTTTATTCCTTCAAACAAAATTAGTATTAAATTAATATTCTTTTGATCAATATTCATGATAACATAAGATGAGATTTATTAATGAGACTAATCAAATCTGGCTTATTCAATTTTTCTCTGTTATATTTTCTCTCTCCCAACACTTGTTTTGAAAGTATATTTTGAAATCAGATCCCATTTGAAGCTGATTTTATGCAAACATAATACTGACGGCACAACAGTTCATAGGTTATTTCTTTGTGTCTGTAGACATCAACCTAATTTTTCACAGTGCTGCTTTTTGGAAAAACAGAAAATAGTTATAGATAGTATGAAGAGTAATAATGAGTAAGATTTTAGTTTGAAGGAAACATCTACACATTTTTTATTGTTACTATTTTCCTATAATAGTAAATCATTTAAATTATGCATTACCACAAATGGCGTAGGTAATCACAGCGTGCTGATATACAGCCATATCGCACGGCTACGAGTGTGATATTACGTTTATACAACAGTTCGATGGGACAAGTGTGTAAATGAATAAGAAACCCTCTTAAAAACCCTCTTTTGTGCAGAACTACTTCCTTCCGCCACGGATTGAAATCTCAGTTTGTCAGTTTAACAGCTGAGCTCAAGCTTCCATTATTAATTCGAAACTGGTGATTAAACATTCATGAGCGTTGAACGGCCGCTGACACCCTGGAGCTCACATCTCCAAAAACGTCGAGGCACGTTTTCAGAATGTTATCTTTATTAACAAACCGCATATTTGAAGTCTAAACAACTACATTCTCGCCTAAAAAAACTAGAATATCGCACCGCTGGAAAAGGCTCTCGGCCAATCAGATTCGAGAACCAGAAAGAACTGTATAGTTTTGTAGTTTTTAATTGTAGTTTATTCAAAAATTGTAATTTGTTATGATTATGTTATGCTGCTCAAGAAACATTTCTTATTATTATCAATGCTTCATATTTTTGTGGAAGTACCATTCAGAAGTTTTTTTTAAAGAAATTAATACTTTTATTCATCATGGATGCAATAAATTTGTATTTCCAATTAATGCTGTTCATTAAAAATATTAATAAGTAATTAATCAATTAATAATTGAGCACCCGTAATAACTGATAAAAACTGAGATTCTTTCAAAAACATGAGAAAATCTGAATTATTCCAAGCTTTTTACTGGTCATGTAGATCATGAGGAACTATTAATTTAGTGCCCAAATATATAGCTGGTAGTGTAAATAAAACAGGCACAATGCTCTCAGTAATATCACTTCCAAAACTAGTGTGGACAGCTTTTATTTTGAAATGAAGAAATAGATGACTATACAGTTCATTTTTTAATGACATTCCACAGACATAATGCATCTAGAATGCATCCCAGGAATGAACATAAACGTCACATAGGCAATGATGAATGATGCACAATTGCTACACGGTTCCCAATAGCCAGTCACCGAAACGATTATATTTTGTTTTCATTGCAAACCAGTCTTCTCTTATTGCATTGCTTTTGCAGGACAGACAGGTGCAGGAAACAACTGGGCCAAGGGCCACTACACGGAAGGAGCCGAGCTGGTGGACTCAGTCCTGGATGTGGTCAGGAAGGAGTGTGAGCACTGCGATTGCCTGCAGGGCTTCCAGCTCACGCACTCCCTCGGTGGAGGAACCGGATCGGGAATGGGGACTCTTCTGATCAATAAGATCCGAGAGGAGTATCCAGACCGCATCATGAACACCTTCAGCATCATGCCTTCACCCAAAGTGTCCGATACGGTGGTGGAGCCCTACAACGCCACGCTGTCTGTGCATCAGCTGGTGGAAAACACCGATGAAACGTACTGCATCGACAACGAGGCGCTGTACGATATCTGCTTCCGCACGCTCAAGCTCACCACACCCACGTACGGGGATCTCAATCACTTAGTGTCGGCGACTATGAGCGGCGTCACCACTTCGTTGCGGTTCCCCGGACAGCTGAACGCAGATCTGCGCAAGCTGGCGGTCAACATGGTGCCTTTCCCTCGCCTTCACTTCTTCATACCCGGCTTCGCGCCGTTGACTGCAAGAGGAAGCCAACAGTATCGAGCGCTCACGGTTCCTGAACTCACGCAGCAGATGTTCGACGCCAAGAACATGATGGCTGCTTGCGACCCAAGGCATGGGCGATACCTCACGGTGGCCACTGTTTTCCGCGGCCCCATGTCTATGAAGGAAGTCGACGAGCAGATGTTGGCCATTCAGAACAAGAACAGCAGCTATTTCGTGGAGTGGATCCCCAACAACGTTAAAGTCGCGGTGTGCGACATCCCACCCAGGGGACTTAAGATGTCCTCCACTTTTATCGGCAACAGCACCGCCATCCAGGAGCTCTTCAAGCGCATTTCTGAGCAGTTTTCGGCAATGTTCAAACGCAAGGCCTTCCTGCATTGGTTCACTGGAGAGGGAATGGATGAGATGGAGTTCACCGAGGCCGAGAGCAATATGAATGACCTGGTGTCGGAGTATCAGCAGTACCAGGAGGCTACGGCCAACGATGGCGAAGAAGCATTTGAGGATGAAGAGGAAGAGGTGAACGAATGAATGACAGATGCAGTTTTGCAGTTTTTTGGTGTTTTTTTAAGCTGTGATTTTTACGTTTTGTATGTGGATGGCTGAAGTCCTAGTAAACAAAGCGTGCTTGCAATAAATGCATTTTGAGGACCACATACACTTGTACTGTCTAAGTGAATATTTTTGTTTTTTTGTAATTTGCTACACTTGGACTTGAAATACACTTGGAATTTATTAATGTGGCTATTCATGATAAGTATTGCACTGTTGAAATCAAATTATTAATTTAACACCACTCAAAAACGTCTTCCAAAATGTAAAAATCTAGTTAAGGATTTAACATTTCCTTTGTGAAAAAGAAGTGCGCTTAATTGTATTGAATGTTCACTTAGTGTACTTCAAATCTTAAAAGCATTTTTTTTCTAGTAAAAGCAGTTTTTACAATAAAAATCTGTATTTGCAAATATTATAATATTAATGAAATAAAAGACCACTTAAAGAGAGACACTTCCACGACTGTTTCTTGACACACTTAAGTACACTTTCACTTTAAAATACATTTTAAACCATTAAGTTTTAATAATCTTTATTTTGATGTGTTGACTAACATACTAAAGCACATGTAAATATATTTTTTACTATAGTGTTATTTGATACTACAATTAAAGTTAATATATTTTAAATGTATTAAATTGCAGCTTTATCATTACAAATGTGCAATTATGAATATGTTTAAATACATGACATACACGTTTCAATAGAAATGACATTAAAGTATATTTTAGTTCATCATAAATACGTGTCAGTGTATTTGACAGTACTTGGCAGTAACCATATTTTAAAGGCAACAGAATAATGAAATAAGACATACAGTAAAGATGGACTTAAGTCCTACTTAAGTGGGTCAAAAAAGCACTGTAAAGTTAGCTTAATTGTGTTTAATATCAATTTAAACTATGATGCATTTTCATTCAATTGCAATTAACATGCAATTTTTCGCACTTAAGTATATTCTTTCAAATTATATTATTTCCGTAACAATGTATGATAAAGTGTATTTCCTTCTCTTAAGAGTTGGAGCAAATAATATTATATAATGTTGCACATGAATAAATGTTCCATAAAAAGGTACACAAGCTGTCACTGGGGCAGTACATTTTCAAAAGGTACACCTTTATACTGTAATTAATTACCACTAAAGGGTGCATTTTGGTACATATTACTACCTAAACTGTTCACATTAGTATCTAAATGGTACATATTAGTACCTTCTGAAAGGATACCATCCCAGCAACTTTTGTAGCTTTTTTTCTGAGTGTAGTCAAAGAGATTTGACTTGCCTCGAGTTCAAGTTGAGCTAAAATCCTATGGAGGATAGATGAAGTTAAAGCCAGTCATTCTGAATAACACATGATTTGTTCATATCCGCTTGTGTCTCGTAACACACAGGCTCTTGTTCCAGCCTTGGACGCAAATCCTGCTCACTCAACCTTCTATTATTCTCAACAGCTGCTGAGCAAGCCGTTCTACACTTAGCAGCATGTAACTAACAATAGAGGAAGTCCAGTCTGGACAGAACTATTTAGAGCACAGTATTAGCAAACACAAAGGGCTTTCAGCTGGATATTGTGTACCATCAGACGTAAGTTCTGTAATAGGAGTGATTTACGGAAGCTTTTCAAATTTGAATTTTAATCCTGATCTCTGGACTCTGAGCGTATAAAAAATTCGAAGTCGAGAAGCCATATGGGAAAAAAGGAATTGTTAAATTAGTCCTCCATAAAATTAAAAGAAAATTAAATTCAAATAAAATAAACGAAAATGGAAAAAGATCAAATAAAACAAATGTAATAATTTATAAATTTAATATTAACTATAATTAATAATTACATTAAAGTACTAAACATTCAGTTACTGTGAATAGTGCAATAAAATACTATTTTAAAAATAAAATGTTTGTTGTTAAAAAAAATGTTAAAAAGTGTTAAATATTTCAAATTTAATTTTGAAGTACATGAAAACATTTATGGTTATTTTAATATATATTATTATTTAATTACATTTGTAATTAAAAAATAAAGTCTGTATATATGTATTTTATTGTCAGTTTGCAAAGTGATTTATATTTTTATTTTCCAATTATTAATTCACTTCCTCACATTTTGGCGATTTCTAGTTGCTAAATAATTGAATAAAGTTAACATATTATTTTTACATAACATTAAGTGCTATATAATTATAAAATAAAATAATAATATACTATAATTAATTGTATTTCATTTTTAAAATAAAACATGTTTGCGTATATGTATTTTATTATCAGTGATTTATATTTTAAATAATTGCTTCATATTTTTGCAGTATGTGTCTCTGCTATTCCCCATAAGGCTAAAAGAGTGATACGGTCCTTTCACAAAAAACACAAAAGGTCCATGTGTGTGATATTTGGAAACATGAAATGGTTATTCGCAGGATCTTGAAAGGCCGGTGCAGCTGGACGCAGGGGTTTAGAGGTCTTACTTTGGTATGTTTAACAGCTGCAGTCGACTCAGCTGAGAGGAAACTGGGTCAGAGTGTCTCGCTCACATTTCCGTAAGAACCAAAACGCCAAAACCTCCACAGTCCCACGATAAGATAGTCATGTCTATTAGTGACTTTTTTTTTTGCGGTCATAAATATAGGCCAATAACCCAGTTAATGTGTTCTGTATTCCATATTCATGCTGGAAGTTCCAACAGTTTTAGCCGCAGTATTACTAACTCACTGTTAAAGCATGTAGGAGTGTGTCACAGCATGCCCAATAAGGCTTTGAAAATGTATCTGGAATCTACTGGAGTCTTATTTGTTTAAACCAACTAGACATCCTCAGATAGATTCGATGTCGATGCTTAGCCTAGAGATGGATGCAAAATAACACTAACTATGCAAAGTGTCTGCTTAAAATGCATGGTTAGAAAATATATATAGCCTCATGTGCCTAAACATTTATATAACATAAGGCAGCATCATGAACACGATGCCGGACTGGCACAGATTCATGTTTCCAAAAGAGCTGCCGTCTGCAGGCTTATTTCACTTCAGGTCATATTTATGGCTCTTTTCAAAATGTTTATACAAAAGCAAACTGTATTCAGTTAGATCATTCCTTATAGTAACAACACGGCAAACAGGACAGCAAACTAGACACACTCCAGACCTTTCTATTCATCCCATTCATCCAAGTCCCTTATATATTAGAATAGCACAGATTAGAGTTTGTAGAGTGTGCCGTGAGGTGTAGATCAAACTTTTGCATTCTGTTATGAGAATGTATCTCGCCTGCATCGGATTTCTGAGCTCCATATCATTCTATCAGCATCATATTTCATATCACTCTGGATTATGTTAAATACAAATATTTTATAGTGGATGTTGCAATTAAAAATATAAAAAAATATTAAGAAAAGTGAAAAATGATCAAAATTGAATTACTGCATTTGTTTTTATAAAGAATAGATTATATGTAAAATATAATATTAGGACTTAATAATCAGCTTCTCAAAAACTAGGGTTGACAATTTAAAATTAAACAACACTGACATCATCTGGAGAGCACAAGAAAAACTCAAAGGTCAACTTTATGCTTTTAAATTTTGGCTGGTTGCTAGGCTGTTTGATGTGGTTGCTTAGTAAAAATAGTCCACCTTGAAGCCTCTATCCATTTTTTTTTGTAAGTAAACAATATGATGTACATCATTTGAGTGTGTGATTTTCCTCGATGCAAATGAATATAATTGCAGATTCAGTAAGCACTGTTCATATTTACCCTAATCTTTCGTTTACATGGGCATTTACATTTATTCATAACAAATTGCCTTTTTAATAAATGTTTTGAAAATATTCAGTTTCCTCCACTGATCAGTTCTTTCCATGTAATGTTTAAGACATCAGACCTAAACAACCATATGTGCTATGGTACTGGGATGGTACTAGCTTTCAAACATATTTCAAACCATAGATTATTTCCCTGCTGATAAAATCAATAGAAACCCTCACAGAATGTGGGTTTTAATGGCTATTGCATTGGAAACTGTAATGGTCCGGTAATTTGTTGTCTTCTATTGGTGGCATGTTAAATCCACTAAATCCTAAAGGAATATGGCTTAAAACATACTACTGGACAGGGTTGCCAGGTCTGTGTAACAAAACCAACCTAAAGACCAGTCGAAAATAGCCTAAAACAAGCCTAATGAATAAAATCAAAACTCAACATATGCCACTCCCATGCCTATGTTTTACAGTCACTGTTATGCGGTCTACACAATTTCAACTTAAAAAATCACTAGTAATCATACACAGTCTGTTTTCATAAAGGAGCTTCACAAAGGCCCCTCCCTCACAAAGCTCATAATCTAGTACAGTTTTATTAGTAGTAGAATGTCAAATATTTCAATACACGCATTTCAGTCAATGACAATTTATGCAATATGTCAAGTCTTTAAACCCGGGCCAACAGTTTTACGAGAAAACCACAAACTTGGCAACACTGCTACTGGAAACCATTAAGTAATGGTTTTAATGTTTAACAGCTGATGGTTTGTAATGTTTTGTAATGGTATTTATACTTCTGTGATGGTTCCTATTCTGTTTTCAGCAGGGTCATTTTGGCAGAAAACTGCATGGAGACCTTAAATCTACTATTTTGTTCTGTTTTGTTACATAAAGGTACATATTAGTACCCAAATGGTATAAGGTTACCACCCCACTGAGAGCTTTTGTACCTTTCTTTGGAGTAAACCCCCCTAAACAGGCAGACTTTGTTGACAATATTTTAAAAACATTTTTCTTATCCTATAAACATGTGATTTTATGTTATTATACTAAGGATCATTATTCAAATGACACTGGTTTCATCATACATTTTATCTTATTTTTACGTAAATGCCATATTCACAAATGCAAAGTTACAAATGGCAAGCCTCTTTTTACAATGTGAGAGAAGATTAATGCTCAAGTAGGTTTAATTTCAATAGCTAAAAACAGTAAAGCAACTAAAACAGATGCAATATGCTTTTTAATATTTCTGAATAAAAATTTACATTTTCTATATTATTATTATGCATAAGCGTCATATGTAAATTTAAAATGTATATCTTTCTATAACTGATGCTGATGTATCCTCTCTCATTTTTTCTTTCTCTGTTCTGCTGTTGTTGTTATGGTATGATGCATTTTTAGTTTTAGTTTTCCTGTTGCAGCCTATTATAGGATATGTTGTTGTAGCTACATGCTGTTTGTTGATAATAAAGCATTAAAACAGACAGGCGTGCCACATTAGCAAGACATTATGAGTCTTACTCTTGTCGTCTTGAACACAGGTCATGATGTGGATGGGCAATGAAGGCTTTAATAATGAGTGCCCGGCAATGGCATTATAAAGTTAAATGGATCTGCCGCCATCTAGTGGACTTTCAGATTATAAGGTACTGTTGTGTTTGTTCGAAGTAACACAAATAAAAGTCGAGACAACGATGGGCAGTTCTTCTTTTATTTTACTGTTCAACAACTGAACACCAGCTCCATTAACACAGGTGTCTCCTTGGACAACCAACTGGCCAACCAAAATCTAACCCGGAGTACCCCAACAGTACTTGTACTTTATTCTGGGTGTATTCAACTCAATACACTACAGGTACAATGGGGTTAAAAACAAACCTTAAGAAAGCGCCATTTGGTGGTTTAGAGGAGAGGCTTTAACCCTGGTGAAACTTTATCCCCGCTGTAACCTACCTCTCACTGTTAAAGGGGTAGTTCACCCAAAAATACACATTCTGTTATCATTTCATTACATTACATTTACATTTAGACATTTAGCAGACGCTTTTATGCAAAGCGACTTACAAATGAGGACAATGGAAGCAATCAAAATCAAGAAAAGAGCAATGATATGCAAGTGCTATAACAAGTCTCAGTTAGCTTAATGCAGTACACGTAGCAAGTTGTTTTTGTAAACCATATAATAAATAAAAAGAAAACAGATAGAATAGAAAAAGAATAAAGCATTGCTTTTGTTCATTATATAATAAATAAAAAGAAAACAAAAATAGAAAAGTGATTTTGTGCCTCTTTGGGATGAACAATAAAGCGACGTTCACTTGCAGAATGCAAGCTTCTAGAGGGCACATAAGTCTGAAGTAATGAATTTAGGTAAAGGGGTGCAGAGCCAGTGGTGGTTTCATTCAAGTGTTTTTGCAATGAAAGCAAGAAGGGAAACCGATCTGTAGTTCTCTAAAAGAGATGGGTTAAGGGTTATTCATTTAGAATTTCACTCTCATGTCATGTCATTCATAAACATACAAGTTTGGACCGGGGCTGTCAACCTCTAAAAAACAAAACGAAACAAAACAAAGAACTTGAGCTATAACCCACCGGGTAAGAAGTGCTCACCTATCTGGTACATCCCTTATTATTTTGTCATTTCTCGGCAGGAATGTAGAACATGTTGTCCATGTTAATCATGTACTCACACAAGTAAACCGATATCTTGTATGTGGTTTTTCAAGGAAACTAAGAAGTGTGATCAGAAAGATCAGAACCATTCTTCATATGCTTGTGTTCAGCCGGCAAAACCAGTCAGACTATAGAAGGAAGAAGAAAATGTCCATGTAGTTGTCTGTGTTTACCGCATTACTCACAGTGTCATTTCAACAGTCACTATGGCACATGCTGCGCTGCTGCTGCTGATCAGCTCAACCGTTTCTGTGGGTCCAGCCGTAAGTTTCTACGGGGCATCAATGACCTTCACGCCTGGAAACAGATATCCAGATGGAACAGTGGAGGTACGACCAGGTTAATATTAGAACTAAGTGAATATCTCTTTCATTGAATGACAATTTTCATTTGCTCTATTTTACTCGAAATGAAACATAACTGAGAACTCTGTCATCACTTGCTCACACTCATTTGGTTTTTAAACCCCGTATGACTTACTTTCTCCTGTGAAACACAAAAGAAGTTATTTAGAAAATGTCTCAGTGAAAGTTGTTCTGTTGAAATGTTGTTCTGAATGCATTCTTTATAATATCATGGATGGCTTATTTGCAATTGTGCAGAAAAAGAAAGGTCTGCTGTATGTGTTCCTGGCAGATGCACTTTTACTACAGAGAGTCTGGTAAACTGCCCTGTGATCCTGAAGTCTTATGGGTCTGTGATAGTGGCGACTGCGGCATTCTCACATACGCAGAACCTGAAATAACGGATCAGGACCACTCGGGTCAGATCCTCTGGTGCCAGTCTGAGCGTCACATGACCACAAATGTCAGTGATGATGAGCCCTTCACTCTGAGGTATAAGAGCAATCAAGTCGTCCATCTAAAAAGAAGTACACTTAGTATATATTTATTAAAAAAGAATACTTAATAATATACTTTAAAAGAATAGATGTACAGTATAGGTGTGAACTGAATATAATGTTTTCAGACATTTAAAATGCATGTTATTTACAATCCAATGAAAATGTATTATATTTTAAATATATATTAAATGCAATTACACTGTGAAAAGTTGTAAACTGCAATTGTGACCTTAAAGAGCTATTTCTACCTTATTTTACACATAAAATGCAGTTTTGTTGGTATATGATATTAAATATTTTACTACCATTTACTACCATTTTTTTCAGTGTGGTTGATCTTTATATGTAATTTCATAAATAGTGCAATTGTGTTTGATATGATTAAAGTGTTCTGTAGAATGTACTTAATGTAATTTCTCCTGAAACTTGGATATGTGCAACTGCACATTTGCAATAACGATAAACTAGTAAAATATGTTAACTATATAATATTGAATAACACACTGCAGTTAAAATTGTAATCAAGTGCTTTTTAAGTCAAAACACCAAAAGTGTGCTTCTTTAAAGCATGACAAATGATAACATTATGATTTAAATTTTTACTTTAAAGTAATACTGTTTAAAAGTGTACTTAAGTGTGTTAAGAAACATAGTGAACATTTGAAGTACACTACAAGTGCACATTCAATGCAATTTAAGCACACTTCATCTTTGAGAGTTGCTTTTTTTATTACGTTAAATTCATACTCAAGTGTTATTTGAAAGCATCTTAAATGTAAAGACTTTTACATACGTACAGTTACAGTTTGTAAAGTAAAACACATTTTTAATAGCAAATGTATTGCCTTAAAGAGCTATTTCTACCTTCTTTTGCCCATAAAATGTAGTTCCCTTGTTTTGAGAGAACTTTAAAGTGACGTGACATGTGGCCAAGTATGGTTACCCATACTAGGAATTAGTGCTCTGCATTTAACCCATGCTAAGTGCACAACTCTCTAACCATTAGGCCACGACTTCCCCCATGCTGCATTTATGCTATGAAAACCCCTTCAGTGTGTCTGGTGTCTGAAGCACATGTGAAAACACACCAATTGTATTGATTGATAGTTGTCATATCCTCCTGGGACCCAGGCATAGACCTTTGTCCACTGTAGAGGACATTATATTTGAGTGAATTTCTCTGAGACCATACATGCCACAGTTTTATCCTGTACAGAGCACATTCAGGGCTTTTTAGAGATGTCAAATGTTTGGAGGTTTGATCATAAACACACATTCTGCTTGGTCTTTAAAAATGACTGATACTGACAGTATGATCAAATTTAGCACTCTTAGGGAAATCTGAAAATATTTTGTAATTATAATTTAAATCGGACTAATTTTCAAATTGCCTGTCATAAATAATCGTCGTGTCACTGTCGCCATTGGCTTGCTTAGTTGGGGACGCTTGACTGATTGCACAGACACTATTCTAAATAAAAATAAAGGTGACAAATAAACATGTTATGGGGTTTCAAATCGGAATATGACTTTTTGTTATGAAACGGGATAATTTTCATACATGTCTTCTGTTGAGGAGGACACCAGGACAAATGGCATGTTAATCAGGCATTTTGGGGTCAATAGGGAAAGAAATTATAGATCAGTAATTAACACTTCTTTGAACAAATAAAAAGGCACTAACATCAGACCAAAATCTAAAAGACTAATCACAATTATAAAACAAATGAGACAAGTCTTCCTCATGAGCGTTACAGAGAATGCAATTAATGTCAATGTCCATGAATTTAGAAAGAGCTATGGGTACATTTTGTGAAGTATTTGGAAATGTTGCTCTTTAAGGATGGTGCGCGTACAGTACACAACAAGACACCAGGGAAAGAAATTATAGATCAATATTTCTATGAAATATGAGATATTCTTATGAAAATGGTGCCAAGTTATTACTTCCATAACAACACTTCTTTTTTCATTATGGTTTGCCCCAAGAACACATTAATATGCAAATTGCATGCAATGTAAAGATACATTGTATAGAATGGGAATACCAATTTATGGACATTTTACACAAATATTGCATACATTAAAATAGTATATAAAATCATTCTGTTATATATTTCATAACATAGTTGAGAATTATCCTTGTAAGTTTGGTTAAAAATAGACTGAAACCTAAAAACTGATTGGTGAATGAAAATGAATTTTGCGTATACATGCCTTTTCATGTCTATTGTTTTTTTTTTTGAATAACTTAGTCCTGGTGTTCTCCACAAAGGACAGAGAATAAAATATGAATAAAATATCTTTTGTCAAAAATGTTTTTTCTCCATTTGTTTCTTATGCTCCAACCAATGTAATGACAAAAAATATGTAATAATGGAATGTTTTATCATTTAAACTCTTTCAGAGGCTCTGGTTGCTGTTGGGCTAATAATGTTCATGATGTCCATGAATGGACGCTTCGCAGTCTTGTTGACACAGGACAACGTTCAGACACTCGGACTACAAACAGGTCGCCTGTTTCAGCAACAATACCAAACATAAGGTGTGTGCTTTTGATAATGACAATTTATCCCTAGACTCTATAGACTTTATCCAGCGCTTTCTGGAATACTTGTTGTTGAGTGGTCTACTACAGTCAAATATGTTTGTGACCACCAAAGTGTGCAGAATATTTCGTTGTCTACAGCAAGAAAACTTTCAATTGTCTGTGATAACGGTCCTTCTTCAGGGTTCCTCAGAACTGTTTTCAGAGTCTTCACCTCCTGGTCTATGATCCAGATGGAGATGATGTGAGATGCAAGTGCCAATCTTGCCATCAACACCCAAACATACATCTTGATGAGGTGACATTTTCTGATGATACACTCCCATGAAATATTCAGATGCAGATTACACAGGCAAATGAACTTTACCTTGGCAATTTAAATAGCCTGTTTTAATATTATGGATCACAGAAATGTTGAATAAAAAAATATTACTATTTCATTCAACAGAGATAAAAACATATCCCTTTAACAGTAACTCTTTTAGCCAGTATCTGTGTGTGCTGTGCATTTTTTGTGCTTAATGGAGCATCACATTGTAAGCTTAGTTACACATATTAACGGCAAATCAAAAAATGCTATCACATCAAGTGACCCATTTTGGTTCATTTTAGTATCATGACCAACCGGCTGAGAAGCACTGATTTAATTACTTAAATTACTGAATGTTTTAATTTCTTGACAGGAATGAAGAACATGTTTTCCATGAAAAATCTTAATCTTTATCATTGACCCACATCAGGAAATAATATTAAAACTGATACTGTTCAATTTGTGTGGGGTGTGACTCGGCGTGAATGACCATTAACAGACCTGCTGCCTACAATGTTTCCCATGTCTTTTAGTTTAGTTTATTTGTCCATGTTCTACACTTTTGAAAAACTTTTCACATTTTTTACAACTTAAATGGTACATTTTTTCAATGCACTAAATATGTGATCTGATTTTTTCTGCATCTAGGACTCGTGCACTTTGAGTAGTAATGGCACACTGGACCTGAGACTGCATGTTTTTGAGTTCACGCTGGAGGATTATCCTGCATCAAACATCACTTTGATGAATGGCGATGGGATCTCTTTCAGAAATCCTTATAATCAGACTGCCAGCGCTAACCCAGCTCCACTCAGTCAAGTGCCTCTGCAGTTTGGAGTAGAAAGTGAGTGAGAATCATGTAGATCAGTGGTTCTCAACCTTTTTAAATTCTGTCCCCGATTGTCCACAACAATATTTGAAGGTCTGACACACTGTAGTTTCTGTAAATTATTAAGGATTCCAGACATTGAGCTGAATGTTTATCAAGGTTCCCATTCTTTTTAAACAATGAATGTACACTTTCAGTCATTTGTGATTTATTGGATAAGAATTAGGGATTGAAAAAAAAGAAACACTAAAATATTTTAGAGCTTGGCTTAAAAAAAGTCTGTGCATTTACAACATTCTATCCCGTTTCCACTGTTTTGCAGTCCAAACACCAGTCCACAGTTGTGAACCAGGGGTGAACAGGCCAAGTTTTCTGACACCAACTCCCTTACATGGAGATGTTCAACATGCAGCTGTGGGACGTGTTCACACTATCACTATCCGTGCCCAGAATTTGGGCCACAGGTCTGAAATATGCATGGTCCTAAAATAAACTAAACAAGTTCAAGCACAACTACTGACCAGAGGGAAAGTCTATAGTGTACACATGCAACACATGCATTTATCATAAACAGGTGACTTTTGTATAAATTCAGAAGGTCTATCAGATGCAGACCCACTTCTGTGGGTTTCAACAAAAGCAACCTCAGTTGAATCTGTAATAATAGCATGACAAAACGGATTTGGCAAACGCTCCAGTGCATATTTGTATTTGCACTCTAGAGAGCATAAAATGTTTCTATTTACAGCAGGTTTTTGCATTGAGAGACATGTCTGTTGATTTTTTGAAAGCAATGGCCAATCAGAGGTGTTTAAAGAATCCACTTAATAGCACTCAAAATACCAGAAGACCAGAGCTCAGAGAGCTCACCAGAGCTTGTTCAGTGCTGAGTTGCATGCTCACAAATCCTCTCATTATAACAAAAACAAAGAAAAAAAACACAAAAACAAACATGATATAGCCTAAATAAGCAATTAATTATTGCTGCTAAAATTATGGTCATGTACATGCTGCAAAGTTACAGAAATGACATCCACATTTAAATGACGGATTTACACTTGAAATGACGAACAATGATAACATAGCAATGGACAGCACAAAAATGATTGTATTTTAAAATAGATGTACATTAAGCAATTTAATACAGACTAATAGATTAAAATTAAAATATTCTAAATATGCTGTATATATAAATTCTGTTGCAATTAAAAGTAAAAGTAATTAATTTAATCTTGTAATCTTGTAAAGATCTATTGCTAGATAAAGCTGTTGAAATGCTCCGCATAACTAAAGTTGTCTGACATTGTAAGAATCCACTCGCCGGCCCAAAAAGCAGAATCCAGCGGCCTGGTCGAAGGTTTAATACGTATTCGGTCTTTTACTTGCGCCTCTGAATTTATCAGGATTTAGTTTCAATTTTAGCCTAGCTCCGTTTTCAATCTGACTCCAATTTTAAGTGATCACTAAATGTAGGCAATGTTCCTAATTAAAAACTTAACAAAATCACAAATATCGATTGTTTATTATTATAGATATTTGAGTATTCTGGAAATCCCATACTATCAATTATTCGTTCATTAGGGACCAGGTATCGCACAGGAATTGCACTCGGCCGATTAGTGAACCCACGGACACAAACTCGTCAGTTCTGAACTTACTCATAGGATGCAGAGTGGTTATAATACCTTTAAGTGAGCTGCACCCTGCATGCTCATAACAAAAAGTTAATTTTTTCCTATAACCACGAGAGCTACACCGTGTTAAGCCAGTGACAGTCAGAAATCGGAAGCCCCTAATGGTGTTCCCCATGGTTCATCCATTGGTGCCTCGGTATGTAAGAGGCAGAGAGGGCAGGGGGGAGAAGGGGGTCGTAAATGAGCAAGGAGAGTGGTGTTGTTTGCTCTCTTTGGAGATCCCTTCTCCAGATTAGTTTTATGGTTTTGTTGCATGGCATCTGTTTTGTGTGAGTTCATAAGACTTGGTTTCATGAGGAGATAATATCATAAGGAAATAATTTCACTCCTTACAACATGCACACTTGATCATTTTAGTTTTAACCAACATGTTTTACATGCTTCAGTTACACTCTTAAAAATAAAGGTGCTTCACAATGCCATAGAAGAACCTTTTTGTCTAAATGGTTCCATAAAGAACCTTTAACATCTGAAGAACCTTTCTGTTTCACAAAAGGTTCTTTGTGGCGAAAGAAGGTTCTTCAGATTATAAAAAGGTAAGAAAGAGATGGTTCTTTAAAGAACCTTTGACTAAATGGTTCTTTGTGGAACCAAAAAGGGTTCTTCTATGGCATCGCTTGAAGAACCTTTTGAAGCACCTTTATTTTTAAGAGTGTACTTAGTAAATGTTATCTAATCTTTCTATCACTCTTGTGTAGTACATTTGATTTCCAGGTCAGTGGACCATGGAATATGTCAAAGAGCTTGAGAAATGCAAGTCAAGGAATTGCTGAGGCAACGCTGACCTGGACACCACAAGAATCTGACCTGCATCATCATGTACCCGTGTGTTTCGCTGCAGAGACACTTCAGAGGTAAAAAGAGGTCTGTCCTTAAGCTCATTGGGAATTCATGATATGAATTTTTCCATGACCTGTTATTTGTCTTTCTCTCCATAAAAAGTCAGTCAGAAATGAGGTGCATCGTGATTGTTGTGGCAAAATTGAGGGTTCTCTCAGGTAAAAAAGATTTCTTAAATGTAAACAGTTGCTCATTTTCCCAGTTTCTGTCATTGATTTTGTATTGTGATATATCTAGTTCAGTGATGAAACTCTAGATTTAGGTCCTTTACATGCAGTTTGCTAGCAATCTCATCATTTAATACATTACACAAGCCGAATGGCCTGTAATTGATCCTTTGAAACCCTCCACCTCCCCCAGCACCACCTGTCTAGATGTGCTAATAGATTTATGTATGCTTAATATAATATCTTACATGCTCACAACAGCATGTCTGTGTATCTATTAGTAGTAGAAAGTCTGTACTTGCTCTAGTCCACCAAGACCAGTACATTAACAATGTCATATTCATTAACATGCAAGCTGTTGAAATAAATGTTGTCAGTTTTTCAAGCAGATTATTCCCCAAATAATCCCCACTCCAATGTTATGATTTGGATTTTTCTTCCTGTCAGTGCATTGATAATACCTTGATATTTTTATTGTTGTTGTCATTTTATTAAGATTAATCAATAAATGAATCACATCTCTCAAGGTGAAGCAGAGGTCTTCTGTGAGGATAATAGTATCAGCATTGCAGTAAGCAAAGCCTCCATGAAGGGGATTGATCAAAACTGGCTCCAACTGAGAGATCCCACCTGCTCTCTTACTTACAATGACACCCATATCCTGGGCACTGTGTCCCTCAACACCTGTGGTACCAGGATGGAGGTACAAAAACCAATGTCTAATACAATCCAATCTAAATACAATAATTGATAGTCAGCCGTATAATATTTAGCGCTGTTTTCTCTTTCTGCCTGATCTTTTCACATGCTTGAACGCCAATCAGGACACAGGAGACTTCTTGGTCTTCAAAAATTAGATCAATTCTTTTGAGGACCCTAATAAAGTAATCACCAGACGCAGTCAAGTTAAAATAGGCTTCTCCTGCCAGTACCCCAAAGTGGCCAGTGTTTCTAACCACTACATCAACAAGAAGTCTGACTACATCTTCACTGAATCCAGCTTTGGCACTTTTAGTTACTCGTTTGATATTTTTACTAACAATAACTTCAGCAGTCGGGTAGATCCCAGTCTGTATCCACTGGAGATAAAATTGATGGATATGATCTACATGGGTATTGCAGCTCATTCTGCTCTCCCTGAGGTCCGGCTCTTTGTGGAGTATTGCAGAGCCACTCCAGATGACAACCCATACAGTGCCCTATTTTATGACATCATTAAAGAAGGGTGAGACTGCTAAAAACCTTACACCACGGGTGTCAAACTCAATTCCTGGTGGGCTGCAGCCCTGCAGACTTTAGTTCTAACCCTGCTCCAACACACATACCATGTAGTTTTCAAATAAGCCTGAAGGACTTGATTAGCTGGAATTAGGGTTGAATCTAAACCAGGGATCTCCATCCCTGCTCCTGGAGAGCTTCCGTCAGAGATTGTCTTACTATTGGGAGATGAGAGTGTCTGTATTACTTACAGTACTATTGGAGAAAGCGTAACGGTCAACTTGGATCACGTGGGCCTTAATAACCAATCACATTACAGCGACACTCAATCGCTGTTTACGATTACCATAGGAATTAATTAGAAGTGCTGTAAGCCGAATCCCATCTGTCGCAAAAAGTCAGTGACTTCGCTTATAAAATGGCTTTTTTTTTTCTCGGTGTAAACTAAAAATAGTTCAATCCAAAAATATTGTTTAGTGTAAAATATGTTGAAGATTAACCGACAGGCTGTCGATTCATTAAATGATAAGCTGTTTCCTCTAAAAAGCTGTTTATTCAGTGTAGTGAAGCCTCTCACTCCATTGACATCCATTAGAAAAAACGCCCTCTGGTCTCCCTTCCCTCGTACTGCGGAAGCGTTAGCATTAGCCATTGCGCTTTTTTGGCTAAAGGTTGCAGGCTTGCCTTCTTGCCAAGTAAGACATGTTCCTGGATCAACATCTTTTGTTGATCCTGGATCAACATTACTGTCCAAAAATATAGACCCAACCCAATCCCTACCCCTAAACCTAACCCTACCAATAATTTATTCCTAAATCCAGAGGGAAATGATAAGTGAATAACAAGGGCGTAGAAGCATCTAACCCTGGTTGTAAGCCTAAAACGGGCATTTCTTGAAAATGTATCCCTCAATTCTAATTGGTTAATTGGAATGTTGTTCCAGGATCAACAAGGAGGTTGATCCAGGAACATCTTGTACTTGGTGAAATCACGTTCACCAAACACATTGATTAGCTGGTTCAGGTGTGTTTGATTGAGATTGTAGCTGAAGTCTGCAGGACGGTAGCTCTCTAGGAGCAGGGTTGGAGACCCCTGATCTAAACTCTGCAAGGCTGTGGCCCTCCAGGAGTTTGACACTCCTGCTTTACACTAAAGTGTGGTTAAAAAAAATCTGTTCCACGTCAATCTAATTATGTGGAAAAAAAGATATGGATTTCAAATGTTTGGAATAATAACGTTTTTTTAAATGCTTCAAAAACATTAAATAATCTTAATTATTCCAAACTTTTTTAACTGGTAGTGTATTTATATATTAAACATCTGTGATTATATTGCATTACTGGAAACTTTGCAATATGCCTGCCTAGGACACTGATTAGACTTATTTATACTGTTTTCCATTACATATATACATACATATCATAATGAGTTCTCCCTTATTACTTACTCATAACCTATTAAAGTGTTAGTTCACCCAAAAATGAAAATTCTGTCATTAATTACTCACCCTCATGAAGTTTAAACCCGTAAGACCTTCGTTCATCTTCGGAACACAAATTAAGATATTTTTGATGGAATCTGAGCGCTCTCTGACCCTCCATATACAGCAACGCAACTGAAATGCTCCCAAGTCCAGAAACGTAGCAAGGTGCAAGCAGTGGTTCATCCGCAATTATACGAAGCTACAAGAATACTTTTTGTGTGCGAAAGAAAAAAAAAAAACGACTTTATTCAACAATTCGTCTCCTCCGCATCACCCTGGTGCTATTTTGGAGAGTATCCGCTGGACGTAAACAGCGTATGCTGTGTATCAGCTGACGAATTGTTGAATAAAGTCATTATTTTTTTTCTTTTGCACACAAAAAGTATTCTCGTAGCTTCATATAATTGCGGATGAACCACTGATGTCACATGGATTATTTTACCAATCTCCTTGCTACGTTTCTGGACTTGGTAACATTTCAGTTGTGTTGCTGTCTATGCAGGGTCAGACAGCTTTCAGATTCCATCAAAAATATCTTAATTTGTGTTCCGAAGATGAACAAAGGTCTTACGGGTTTGAAACGACAGTACTATTGGAGAAAGCGTAACGGTCAACTTGGATCACGTGGGCCTTAATAACCAATCACATTACAGCGACACTCAATCGCTGTTTACGATTACCATAGGAATTAATTAGAAGTGCTGTAAGCCGAATCCCATCTGTCGCAAAAAGTCAGTGACTTCGCTTATAAAATGGCTTTTTTTTTTCTCGGTGTAAACTAAAAATAGTTCAATCCAAAAATATTGTTTAGTGTAAAATATGTTGAAGATTAACCGACAGGCTGTCGATTCATTAAATGATAAGCTGTTTCCTCTAAAAAGCTGTTTATTCAGTGTAGTGAAGCCTCTCACTCCATTGACATCCATTAGAAAAAACGCCCTCTGGTCTCCCTTCCCTCGTACTGCGGAAGCGTTAGCATTAGCCATTGCGCTTTTTTGGCTAAAGGTTGCAGGCTTGCCTTCTTGCCAAGTAAGACATGTTCCTGGATCAACATCTTTTGTTGATCCTGGATCAACATTACTGTCCAAAAATATAGACCCAACCCAATCCCTACCCCTAAACCTAACCCTACCAATAATTTATTCCTAAATCCAGAGGGAAATGATAAGTGAATAACAAGGGCGTAGAAGCATCTAACCCTGGTTGTAAGCCTAAAACGGGCATTTCTTGAAAATGTATCCCTCAATTCTAATTGGTTAATTGGAATGTTGTTCCAGGATCAACAAGGAGGTTGATCCAGGAACATCTTGTACTTGGTGAAATCACGTTCACCAAACACATTGATTAGCTGGTTCAGGTGTGTTTGATTGAGATTGTAGCTGAAGTCTGCAGGACGGTAGCTCTCTAGGAGCAGGGTTGGAGACCCCTGATCTAAACTCTGCAAGGCTGTGGCCCTCCAGGAGTTTGACACTCCTGCTTTACACTAAAGTGTGGTTAAAAAAAATCTGTTCCACGTCAATCTAATTATGTGGAAAAAAAGATATGGATTTCAAATGTTTGGAATAATAACGTTTTTTTAAATGCTTCAAAAACATTAAATAATCTTAATTATTCCAAACTTTTTTAACTGGTAGTGTATTTATATATTAAACATCTGTGATTATATTGCATTACTGGAAACTTTGCAATATGCCTGCCTAGGACACTGATTAGACTTATTTATACTGTTTTCCATTACATATATACATACATATCATAATGAGTTCTCCCTTATTACTTACTCATAACCTATTAAAGTGTTAGTTCACCCAAAAATGAAAATTCTGTCATTAATTACTCACCCTCATGAAGTTTAAACCCGTAAGACCTTCGTTCATCTTCGGAACACAAATTAAGATATTTTTGATGGAATCTGAGCGCTCTCTGACCCTCCATATACAGCAACGCAACTGAAATGCTCCCAAGTCCAGAAACGTAGCAAGGTGCAAGCAGTGGTTCATCCGCAATTATACGAAGCTACAAGAATACTTTTTGTGTGCGAAAGAAAAAAAAAAAACGACTTTATTCAACAATTCGTCTCCTCCGCATCACCCTGGTGCTATTTTGGAGAGTACGTTTGGAGTTGTTTACGTCCAGCTGATACTCTCCAAAATGGCAGCAGGGTGACGTGGAGGAGACGAATTGTTGAATAAAGTCTCTCCTTGCTACGTTTCTGGACTTGGTAACATAATTTTTATTTTTGGGTGAACTATCCCTTTAAATAATTTTAGTATATTCATAACGCAATAGCGATAGTTATAACCTTGCAATAGCAATGCAAAAATGTTTCATTAAAAGGAATATGATTGAATGAACAGTAAATACTGTACAGTATAGAGAGAGAGAAAGAGAGTGAGTATATATAATTAAAATTATTTAACGTTACTGTAAATTTTACATATATATAAAAAATGTGCAGTAACTTTAATTACATGCTTTGCATTTCTCATAAAAGATGGACATATATCTCATGACCAGCAATAATGGGCAATGATGTTTAACCAGTACTTTACAGGACTGAACAGGGACATTTTTTTCAGTGATAAAGACACATGTTCATTCCTTGTGTTGAAGGACAAAAGATCTGTCCCATGATTGTGGAGTTTTCAGGACAGTCAAGTTTCTCAGATAACTTACTGTAATCTACAGAAAGTTGAAGATCTGCCACTTAGAGATTTTCAAGATTTTTGCATGCATTACACAGTATACATTCATGATAAAGAATATAAATAACTTGTTCATGTAATCTCTTTGTGTATCCCTTTTTTGAATATTCTGAATGAATAAATTGAAAAATAATTTTTAATTTCCACAAAATAGTTTGGAATAAATGATTGTGGGTAACTGAAAACTGAAGTCATGTGTTCAATGTGTACTTACAGGTGTATTATGGATGACACAGTTGAGGTTTATCAAAGTGATTCAAGAACGTATGACTTTGGGATCCACGCTTTCAAGTTCACAGGCGGCTACAATGAGGTATAAGAGAATCACATACTAATGCTGGAAATCCTGTCAATTCTGTTGAGCAGGAACATTTAACTGCGATGCCCTCAAACTCTTTTGATAGGTGTACATTACCTGTTCTGTGATTCTGTGCGCGGAAGGAAGTTCAAACTCAAGATGCGCCCAAGGCTGCCTCAGAGAACCCGCACACAAACGCAGACGAGACGTGAGCAAAGAAACCGCCAGGCATTACATCAAGCAGGGTCCCTTCCGTGTGGTGAGACAAACTCAGCATTCAGCAGCAGGTACTGTATATTAGTAACATCTTAAAATAATAACGACTTCAAATGATTCTGCATCATGATTGTTAATATAACTGCATGTTTCTTTCTTCAGCTTCACAAAATGGTGATTCTCTTCATGTCAGTGCAGGCACCGGGGTCTTTGCGGGACTCTTCATAATCTCCATTGTGGTGCTGGCGGGATTGTTGGTGTATAAAGCCAAAAAAACAAGAGCACCTGATCGCATGTATCTGATGTCCAACTTCTAATGATTCCAGATCATTAAATGAATTTTCAGTTTTCTTTTTATACATTTTTTCTTAATGCAATAAATAATTTAGATTGATTTTGTGGGAAAATCTGCATGACATTGTGACAGACATTGTACATTTCTTAAAGTTGCACATACATAAAGTGCTTATGTTTTAGAAACTGTTATTGATTTTGTGTGTATCAGATTCTGTCGAAAGGGAAAGACTTGTACAGCTGCTTTACAAGAGTAAATTACTAGCTTAGAACAATAAATAGCAGTTTAGCAGCATATTTAATGTTGAATATATTTGAAGTATATATTTGAAGTATATTCTTTTCCACCCTGTTTATTCTTCACTTACACAAGGTTAAACATTGATGCGGAATCATCTAATTTGGTGTTTATATATATATATATATATATATATATATATATTTGTTTTGTTATATATGTTTTTGTTTTGAATATTGTCCGGTCTGCATGTTAAATCTTATCAGTTTTTCATTATTTAATTAGGGTTACACATACTAACCCTATCAAACTCAGTAGTTGCTCCATAAGACACAGAAATAGCACTATAGCATCACAAAATTCAACAAAAGGAAATCTGTTGTGGCCTAAAATTTTTGTACCAAATCATTAATAATTATGTGAAAATAATATTTTATTATACGTAGACAATGGAGATATAAAGTTAAGTAACCTCAATGGAGATATAAAGTATCATTTCATTGTTATGCGGATGATACTCATATTTATTTGCCTGTGAAAGAATTACATTCAAACTCATTTGATGTTCTATCAGCATGTTTACAGGAGGTTAAGGCCTGGATGGCTGCAAACGAAAACTGAGGTTATTGTTTTTGGCCATAGAAAGCACAAAGTGGTTCAGTGCATAAAAAAACACCTTTGTCTGGATATATGAAACCCAGTGTGAAAAACTTTATATGTATTATATTATGTATTATACTATACTCTATAATATTGCTGTTTACTTTTTGGCACAGTCTTTGTCACATATTTGTGTCTATAATGCCTTAAAATAAAATTACAATTTTGGAACAGAGATAATGTCTGTCTTGAAACTGTCATTTTGTAATGAGAGACTCAAGCGTGTAACGTATCCAAGTGCAGAGCTGATTTATTCAAACAAAGTGCAAAGGAATACAGTAAAGAATAAAAACCTGGTACTTAATTTATAAAATGATACATTTCACATATTGTATTAGATATATTAAAAGTGACAAACATATTAGAATGCATTAAGTCCTGCTTAGTTTAAATTACACATTCCATCCAACAATCCATTTTCAAAGATACATCTCGGGCTGAAGGCTGAGAAACGCAGACCTATGAACGATTAAGTGTTTTCAATTCACCCATCCTGCATGTCATTTGGATTGTACCAAAGCCAGACCTTGCTTAAACCTTGCTCAATTGCATACTGAGTCATTCCATTTCAGAGAAGAGAGACCACCCTTATTTTAAAGCAGGTACAAAATATTGTAAGGAAATTCCCAGTTTGGAATGAGTTACAAAAGCCTTATTCAGATGGATATTGTTTCTCATGGGGACTTCTGTAAAAATACATTTGCACGGCTCCTCAGTGATAAAACTCATGCTTTCTGATGGTGATTTATTTACAGTGAATTTTGTGATCCTATGAAACCAAAACACGTTGCTTAAGTGGTCAGTCACTTGTTAAACATTGATTTAAATATGCTATTTAATAATAGGAAAATTGACATGTTATGGTTTAAATGGTTTTCTGTGTAGCTTTTTAGCTCTCTAAATGGTGGATGTCATAAAAAAAGTTGCATAGGTGTAAGCCCTAATTTATATAAATGCATATAAAACATATTTAAAATTTTATTGCCAATCTGTTGCTGTCATAATAATGGCCATTTCAAAAGTTGACGTGATTTTGTTTTCTATTTCTTCATAACAACTCCCACTCGCTGTGGTTATTCTTGTAAACTGTTTCCAGCATTTCAGTAATAAAAGTGTCCATATTTAAAATGCAAGCACATTATCATGAAGCGCAACAGTTACTGTTTGGTGCTTGACAGTGGTCAAAAAGGATTTATAAACTGACTTTTGGATTGATCCCCTCTTGTGAACTCCGCGATGTGGATTCAGGTGGCAATTAAATTACTACACGACCTTGGTGTTTGTCAAAAACAGTGATGTGCCATGACCTGAAGAGCAGCTTATACCTGACCAGCCAGTCTGTGAGAGTTAAAGCGGTTCTGACAGGACTGAGCAAAGATTCCTTCACAGAGATGAGGAAGGAATGTAACATGAAAACTGTAAAAAGTAACTAAATGGTCAATAACTGTTTTGCAAACCTGTTTTTCCCTCTTTCATTGAAAATGAAGAACTGAATCAAAAGAATGAATAAATCACAAATGAATGGCATCACTAGTTCAGTCGACCGAAATACAGGACACATAATAAAAGCAAACAAACAATTAGAAACAAATACAGAGATTTTTTAAAATTGCTTTTGAGGAGAAACAATGCAGGCAATGGACTAGGATCAACTTTCTAGTGTGCATGTGTAGAGTGCCTGTGTTTGTGGACATTATCAAATAAAGTATAATTTAAAAGGCTATGTATTAGGCTCGATGCATACAATAAGCATTTGAATAACTTGAATAACAAAAGACATGACACTATGACATTTACCAGAAGAACAATCCACACGAGCACATCAAAAGCCTCACCAGACCTGTTGCAAGGGTTTCCTTGTTTGCTGGAAGCAAAACTAAAAGTTTACATGGTGTTGAGTGAAATGCACTTAAACATTAACAAGAACAAATGAATCACGAGAACAATCTTGCATCCGTGCAGTTAAACGCCAGCAGCCCAGAGAAAGAAGATTTCCCTGGTGTTTGAAATAAATTAAACCGTTATTATAATGCAGCAACTGCACTACAATAGCTACTGCATTATTAAACAAAATAAACTTAAAATAAACATTTTGTTATTTTTTATTTTATTAAATTATTTTATTTTCATACTTGCTAAGGTAACACTTTATAATAACTTTCATTTATAAATCATTAAAAGACATTATATAATGCTTAACATTAGTTAATATATATTCACATAGCTAGAAATATGAGATAATGTTCTTGTTAATGTTTACTAATTGTCAGACTCTGTTCCTTGTTTTGTGTGTGTTTTGATCCCCATGTGCCTTCCTTGCCCTTATTTGGTCCTTCCGTTCCTGTCCCGATTTAGTTCTATTAGTTCCAGGTGTTCCTTGTTATTAGTTATCCTCCTCACCTGTCTGCCCCTCGTTATCTGCCCTATTTGATTTCTAGCCCGTTCTGTTCTCTCTTGTCCGGAATTGTATGTGTCAATCTTCTCAGCTAAGTGTGTTTTCCTGATTACCTTAAAATCTCCTTATTGTTGTACTCTTCGTCTCCTCGTTCCTCGTCTCCGTGCTCCTTACAGTAGCGAAACGTGACAGAATTCCAGACCGTGACAGTAAGTGGCGCACCTTCTCCCCGTGTTTGTTTTTCATTGTTGAAAAAGTCTTTTGTTTTCCTGTTTGTTTCCCCCTGAGATCATGGAAATCGCCGCTCGTTTCTCCACCTTAGTCTGCTGAGATCTCCCCTTCTTCGAGTACGCCTGGGAATTCTGCGGGCTCACCGCGGTGACGGCATTGGATGACGCCACCATCAATTCACTGTTCTGGCTCGGGGCCAATTACCATCGCCCCGTGGACCTCCCAGACACCAAAGGACTATGCTGGAGGGAAGGGTACTACCGGTGTCTGGGGAGTGTCCGGGCCCGAGCCAGAACCAGCCCGCCATCAAGCCCGCCGGCCGCGCCTCTCTCCAGCCCGCTGGCCGCTCCAAAGTCAAGTTCGCGGGCCGCCGCTCGCTCGAGCCCGCCGGAATCTCTGCTGTCAAGCCCACTGGCCGCTCCGAAGCCAAGCCCGCCAGCCGCGGCATTCACAATCCCGCCGGCTGTGGCTCACTCAAGCCCGCCGACCATGCCTTTCAGCCCAAACCTAAAGGGGAACCTAAGGAGGAGAAAGCGGTCGGCTCCAGCCCCAGAGCTCGCTCCAGTGTCGGCTCCAGCCCCCGAATCCAGCCCAAAGAGGGCTCCTGTTCCCAAGTCAAGCCCAGGGAGGGCCACAGTTAGACCTACGGAGGACCTCTAAAGACGATATTCTCCCCAAGGATTTTTTTTGTGGGGGGGGGTAGGGGGTAGTATGGGTCCATCCGTAGTGGCCGGGCCGGGCCGAGTGGCGAGGCCAAGGCCACGGAGGCCGTCCAGCCATGGCCTTCTGAGCTTCCTGCTCCACCATGTCTCCCGAGCTCCCTGTCCCACCATGGCTTCCCGAGCTCCCTGTTCTGCCATGGCCTCCTGAACTGCCTGCTCCGCCATGGTGCCCTGAACTGCCTGCTCGGGCATGGCGTCCTGAACTGCCTGCTTCGCCATGGCCTCCTGACCTGCCTGCTCCGCCATGGTGCCCTGAACTGCCTGCTCGGGTTCATATGATCTTCATTTGTTGGTCTTTGTTTGTTGTGTAGACCTCTAATTACAAATCTTAACAAATAATCTACTAATAATTTTGCAGTACTCTATCTAAAGTGGAAACTATTCATCATTTGCAAATGTTTATAAATGTTTACTAATCATTAATACCTTTATGAACAGTCATCTCAATGGCAAAAAGTGTCCCGAAAGACCTGAATTTGCCTGATCCGCCCTGGAGGTATTCCCCATGTCCCAGTCCTGCATCAGCCTGCAGGGCGCCCACCCCCCCTCCCTGGTGGAATTGTTACGACGCGGGACGCGCCTTCCGAGAGGGGGGAGTAATGTCAGACTCTGTTCCTTGTTTTGTGTGTGTTTTGATCCCCATGTGCCTTCCTTGCCCTTATTTGGTCCTTCTGTTCCTGTCCCCATTTAGTTCTATTAGTTCAAGGTGTTCCTTGTTATTAGTTATCCTCCTCACTTGTCTGCCCCTCGTTATCTGCCCTATTTGAGTTCTAGCCC